ATATTATAATCGTGAAGGAAAAAATCATTTGAAAAATATTATAATATACTATAACATTTAAAGTAAAATCCAGCCAATTAAATATAATTTGTATTAATTTTTTCGCATATATGTATTCCCATAAAAATCTCGATCAATTTAATCAAGTGAATGAATGAGTGAGTGAGTGAGTGAGACAGAGAGAGAATATAAAAGAATCATTTGAAAAATCTTGTAAAAAAATAAAAGAAATGTGTAAGAGGGTTAAGAAAAAAAAATATACATAACATGAAGAAGGAGGGGGACATTTTGTAGATAGGTAGATAGCTCATTTAGCTAGCTAGCTAAGTTAGCTAAGTTAGCTTTTCCATCCTCATGAAACAAAGACTTATTTTTAATTTAGTTCGGCTCGGGTTGCGGAGCGGTAACTGCTGACACGACGAAGTTCCCCATCGTAGACAACACCGTCATATCTACTATTACACTAGGAAACGAGAAAGAGAGAGAAAGAGAGAGAGAGAGGAGAGTGGGTGAGAGAGAGTGAGAGAGGTGTCAGTCGCGAGATAAACGCGCATCAGGTAGGATACTTGGAAGGTACTGGTCCTCCTTCTAACATTTTTTTCTTCTTCTTCTATTTTTCCATTTCTATCTTCCCCCTTTTCCTCTTAACCCCAATTTACTTCCCCTAATTTTTGTTATTTTTTTTTTTAAATATAATATAATAATTATTCTCCTTTATTCATTTTTTTGTAATCTCAACGAACACGAGAGTGAAAAATAAAAGAAAAAAAAAAGATAACTAAAAAAAGTTGCAACGATAAAAGAATAATTTTGAAATTGTATTATGCAATGTAGGAAAAAAAAAAAATATACGAAGAATAATTAATAAACAACGTGTAAATAATAACGTGCAAATAATACGCGAAAAGATAGAGAGTATCGATAACAAATGTACATTTCACATAGATTGTGCGTAAACAAAGGTGTAATCTTTCAACCGTAAACTCATCCGTCCATTCTGATGGTGATAATGATGATGATGGTGATGGTGGTGGTGGTAGTAGTGATGTTGTTACTGTTAATTATTTAAATTCGAGAAAATACGTATTATCAAAGTAATAATAAATTGAATCCACGAGTTTGGGGGAATAATAATAATATATCATTCGAAAATTGTTTTAAACAATTTGCAATTAGACGAAGAGATTAGATTATTATAACAAAGAGAGATCTTACGATTATAATTAATCGATATAATTTAATTAAAACGAAGTTTTATATTACGAGTGTTAAACTACTACAAACTTAATGAGAAAAAGTGCATTATAGCGTGTGTCAACAATGCATTAAGATCGTAAACAAAGTTTTTACAATGACATTATTTATTTGTCACGTTCTATGAATTTAATTAAAATAATGTTTTTTTAAACAAGTGTGATATATAAGAAAAATCTATTAATTTAAAACGAAACACCAACAGTGTGAACATTTTTTTTTTCAAATTACATTTAATTAATTCGATGATAAATATATTCAATTAAAATATGCAATATTATTATTATTATTTAATATCTTTAAATTAATTACACGAAGGTGTAATTCATTCGGAACAACCTGATATTGTATGTATGCATCATTAAACACAATTATCCTTCCTAAAAGTAATAAAAACGCGTGTATGTTATAAACCGATTCAAATTGAATGGCACACGTGTGCAATTGCAGTGAATGAATATGTATATATGTTGCATATGTGAGTACGTTATATTGACACATGTTTCTTCGGTTCTTCTTCTTCATTCTCTCTCTCTCTCTTTCTATTTCTTTCTCTCTCAATAATTTTCCAACCCGAACGTTCGCAATATTAACAGACCGAGACAACCGCTAATCCTCAACCGCATTATTTTCACCGTTGCAAATATGATATATTTTTATATTTCTCTCTTTCTCATTTTCTAAATCTTTTTTTCACCTGTTAAGGGGTAATCCAAGTTCTTTAAAAGAAATCATTTAAAGCGTATGGGGAAGCTGAATCATTTTTAATAACAGTGCAATGGTGGTAGTTATGATGGTACTTTAAATACATATACATATATATATATATACGTATGAGTGTATATCTATGCATATCGTTTGCACGAGCTATACTTTTTTCCCTGAAAATTCGAAAAAATACGAGCTGACCTGGATCTTTGAGATAAGCAGAAAAAAAAGAGAGATAGAAAAATATAGAGAAAGAAAAGCAGAAACACATCGTTTAATATTAAACCACATCACGCGTTAAATTGAAATAACCTTACCCTAACAAAAATAAACTGTATTTTTGTCTATTTTCATTATTTCTACAGTTTTATTTTCTTAGAAAATAAAAAAATAAATTTGACCGACCGAAATAAAAAGAACATGATTTTTAGGTAAAAAACATTTATATCACTATTATTTTTTAACTCATATTTCTTTTCTTTTCTATATGTAATATCCCCACATCCTCCTCCTGTTATAATTTTAAAATTAGATCAAAAAATCAAAGAAGAAGAATAAGAAGAAGAAAATAGAAAAATATTGAAGTATTTGAATTAGAGTTTTGCGTGTGTTTGTTGTAGGAGGAATAAAAGGAAAAGAAGAAACTCGGACAATCGAGATAAGAAAGAGTAAAAGGGTGGTTTAGGTCGATCGATAATGAGCTTAAGGTGGATCCACGAGAATTTGAAAGCTCCGACCTGCGACGAGGAATGCAGTGACATTGACGACAGTTGCAGTGACGACAGTTACGACACAGATCTGTCGTTTTGTAAAAAGGAATCATCCTCCACTTCCACCACCACCACCACCACCACCATCAACACCACCACCTCCTCCTCAACAAAAATCGAGGACGAGAAAAAGGGATTGAACGGTGATTCTCGTAAGCACAAACTAGAAACGAGGAAACATCAGAACACTATAGTTACCTACGATGAAAACAGGTATTATGCATACGCAAGTATACTACATAGATTACATATATTCTTTACATAAATATATATATATATATATGTGTAAGTTATAGGTACATATTTTGTACATAATATCGAGACTATAAAATGGGAATACAATAATAAGAGTATTTTATATAAGAAGACACATACGTGACATCATTTTATAATTTATAGACATTTTATTTATCCCTCAACTATTTATAGAATTGATTTTTCTTTTTGTCTTTTAAGTAAGAACATTGAATAACAATGAATAGAATCGTTTGGTTGTTTTCTTTCCTTTATTTCATCGTATAGATTAACCCTTTATATGATATGCAATTTTTTAAATTATATATTTCTATTATTATTAATATAATATACTGATATATAATTAATACTCTTTATTTAAAAACAAAAAAATATATAACTTTCGATATTAACTGAGAATTCATTTTGCAATAAATAAAAGATAAAATGTATACACGCATGTGTTACTAAAAAAAAAGAAAAGGTGTTAAAGAATATTCATTCTTTTTTTTTCGAGAGAAAGAAAGAGAGAGTGAAAAAGTAAGATATTATTATTTAATATTACAAAAACATCCCTACGATTAGCATAAATTCAAAAATACACAATTATCGATGAAAATTTATCACATTAAATCAACGACGACGTAGTTTTATTCTTCTTCCCCTCACCGATATGCGCATAAAGTGCGCTCACGTGCATTCATTGATCATTTGACTCGATTAACTTTCTGCTCTAATATCGTAGTGTGGGGGGGTCACTAGGTCTAATAGGTATAGTTCTCGTAATACGTGAGTGGAGGTTGTAATTTTCTACGAAGCAGCTAACTCGTAACTACGTAAACGTGACAATGACAGACATTACAAAATATCCATTTATTAATAAATTCAAATCTGCGAAACTCCCCTCTTCATGTAACCTTTGGTTTAAACCCTTTGAATGCAGTCAATGCATATATGCATTTGATAAAAGTATTCGTGAATTATTAACGTTATATACGTGTGTTTGTTAATATTCATTCAAATAATCTAATAATTGCATTGAGTCTTGCACACGTCGAAGAAAAAAAATGTTTAATATAGTGTAATTGAGATAAAATAAATGAATGAAACAAACACACATTAAAATGATAATAAAATATTTCATCTATAAAAAACACACATCGGTTAAAAGTATTCAACACTCAAAGGGTTAATTATTAATTTAATTACCATCAATTAGATTGGATAAATAAATTAGGAAAAAATGTTGATTATTTATTCGCTATAATGATGAATAGGTTCTTTAATTGATTTTGTATTTTTTTTTTGTTTAAATACGAGAAATTAATTCCTCATTCGTCTAGCGACGACACCCTTGAAAAAACGTTTTCAAACTTAACGGAGTGCGAAAACTCGCACACCGTGACAAGGCACGCTTCATTCAGAAGGCTCTCTGACCTGGAAACCTGATCGGCCTATTTTTTAAAACATACAACACACATGTATGTTTCTAATATAAGCATCACCTCTCGAGCGTGAACTCTTTATATTTCTTTCTCTTTCTATCTTTCCCTTCATAGAACACACGGCGCGGCTTGTCTGTTGTGTTAAGGGTGGATCTCCGATCTCCAGTGACCCTTTCAAACGTTAACCACGCTCGATATTACAATCATGATAATCTTAACGAGGGACATGCATTAACATCGAAGGCTCTCCCTTCGTCGTAGTTAATAAAAATTCTTCTTCATTGCAAACCGGACTATAATTAATCCGTTATTATTTATTATAATATAAGATAAGGTTTAAATAAGCTAACATTCGTTTGAAATTAAACGTTAAAGGGTTGTTTCAATCAGAGTCGTTTATATAAAGTGTGTCTAGAAATTCTTTAATGTGTCCAAATATAAACTTGTCCTCCTACAATTTATTTTTATATTATTTCTTTTATTTAGACGAAATAAAAAATCAAATTAGATTAATATTTCGTAAATAATTTGGAACTCATTCAGGCTAAAGATATTATATAGAAAATATAACGAATACAAATTTATCTAATTAATTAATTATATATATATACATGTTATATTAATTTAACAATATTATTGCGAATTCTAATTTAATTTGTACAGTCAACCACGATACGAGACGTCCGAAGTTACTTACACCCTTTCACCCTACGTAATATGGGATCCACGGCAACCGGCGGAAAACCCAATTTATAATTCCCTCGTCATAAAACTTTACTGTCGTACCGGTTATCATCTCGGAATAACGTCTACTGGCAAAATTCGAGGCTTGTCAGGAACAAACGAGAGACATGGTATAATATCTAACGGGAAACTAAACGTAATTTAAACAAAATCAAATCCCTGTAAATATTTTCTTTTTTATTTGTCGATTATCCTTTAGCTCTTTTACACGTAACACCAGTCTCTTTCGGAGTCGTACGAATACAAGGTGTCGAGACCAAACTATATCTTGCATTCAATAAAAAGGGCTACTTGTATGGAGAGGTAAGATAAGAATTTTTTTGTTATAACACTGAGACAATACTCTAATATCGATCCAGTTGGTCTATTAAACTATCTTGTTAATCTTTTTAAAATATATATATTACATAAATTCAATATTACCAATAATTTTCTTTTAATATCTTTCTTAAAATATTAATTCTAATTATTAATTATGTTGCCTATATAATTTATTTATTTCTAATTATTAATTAATTTGATTAATTTAAATGAACGTAATAAGAAATAAAATTCGTAGACAATTTGATTAGATTTTTGTTCTGTGAAGTAATGTCTTGTTAAAATGCTATTTTCATCATCATTGTCATCATCATGTCTATAAAACGCCTCTGCTTGCAGTCCAATATGAACAAGGACAATACTGAATGGGAACAATGGTCTGTTGGATCTTACGATGCATTTCGATCACGTAAATACGTACATCCCGGTTGGTGGATTGGTATTAAAAAAAACGGACGTGCAAAATCCGGTCCAAGAACGGTTTGGGGACAAAAGGCTATACAATTTTTAGCGATAAGACAAGATTAACAAGATTAAACGTGGGAAATGATGTTTCTTTTTTGTATCAACATTTATGCTTTGAATTTAGATACGCAAAGGAATTTAACAAAATCGCTAACAAAGATGAAGAGAATATAAGAATTACAAAAGAAATACAAAAAACAGAACTAAGAAAATTGTACGCTCAGCATAATCCAATAGAATATAATGTTTATTATAACACTGTGTTACTCAACAATGGAATAGTTTGAGATTGTGCATTTTGCTTGTGCCCTCGAACTGAAACTTTCTCACAAGTCGCAGTTGTAATTCGCGGTACGCTCTGATTATTAACATTCATAATAATTATTCTGCTGCGAACATGGTGCAACAGATCAAAAATATTCGTGAAAATACGATCGAAATATATTCTACATGCTCTGCTTACAGCAGAGAAATTCTAAACATCGATTTCTTACTTACTCGATAATTCTGATCGTAGTATGTGTATGTATGTATGTATGTATTTAAGTACAATATGTAATTAATTGTGTGTATAATGTGTGCACATGGGAGCACACATATGTGTATATGTATATTATATAATAATATTTTATATAATTGGTTTTATCTTCTTTGTACATCTACATACATTGCATACATATGTTATTAGAACTCTTAAGCAAAAGCTTAACGTATAAAACGACTTGTTGTCTTAATAAAGTTTTGTTATTAATAGAAAGAGATTTAGATTTGAAAGACCTAATGTGAAAATATGCTGACCAGATAAAGAAGCCCTTAAGAATAACGTTCGTTAACAATAATTAAAGTAAGGCTTATATTATTTCTTTATCTTATATGTGAATTATAGAAAACAAAAAATTTAATTATATTCTTTGGTAATCGATGATCAATGTAAAAATGTATTAAGTTCCTAACTATAAGCCTCTGCCATTACTTAAAAGCAATAAAAACGATGAATACTATACATATTAAAATATATCCCTTAAAAAGTTAAAAAAAAAAAGAAAACAGTGCTTAATGCGTGAATTTCTGAAAAGAAAATATTCGATTTTCAAGCAAACATATTTACTCTTATAGAAAGTATGTATTTGCTCTAGATAAAGATAATTCTTTTTTTTTTGCTTTCTTTTTTTTTTTTTTTGTTTTTAATAAATACCATATATTATGTACTTTTAAATTTATTATTACATACTATATGGTTCTTATTTGAAAATAAGGCAGCTACAAATATGTGCATACATACTTTTTATAAGGAATGAAAATCACAACTATCATAAGATCCCTGTATGTTTAAAATCATTTTGCAATAATCACAGGAATTCATTTCTTTTTAGTATTGGGACAAGTCGATTGGAATACACTTGAAGCAGACATTAGATTTTCTATATACTGACTTAACACCTGATTCTCACTTCGTAATTTCAAATTTTCTTCTTTGACGCTGTCTACCCTCTGAGACAAATCTAAAAAAACAAAAAAATCAATATATAAAATTTGTTAATAAATTTTATAACAATTAATAACATTTGTGCTAACAAACAATTAAACTTACCATCTAATGTATTTTGTAGTTCCAAGACTTGTGCTATTAACCTTGCTTTTTCTTCCTGTTCATCTGGACTAATATCAGGATCTAAACCTATTGATCACACAAATGAATTCCAAATGAATACGTTGATAAGAAATTCATTATTATTCTTTATACTATAGTTTTGATAATGAACTTACTATTGGGACTACAACTACCATTAGTAAAAGTGGATGGAATAGAATCCATGCTACGTCCTCTGCCTAATGCGTCAGATAAATGAGAAGCGTTATCCAACACCTCTTCTTCAGGGATAATCACTGTATTTAATGACAAAAGGAAAATGCATATTACAAATTGAAGGAAAAAATAAAAAGAATATTTCATACGTCTATACGTGTACTTAAAAGTAATAAATATACTTAGAAAATTTAAATGTACTACTTATTTATGATTCATAAAACATGACAAGCAGTGAGATCATGCATTATCGATATATATATATGCGTCATGCAGAAATAAAATTATTGTACCTTGAGGATCATCATCTGCTAAGGGTATACTATTCATATCATCTTGTAATTTAGCTGTTACAGATGCAGACATCTTGACGTCAGTTATCACTGCAAGAAGAAATCGTAAACGATAGCGAACCTGCGCGTAATGGTTCAAGATTTGATACAAAATTTATCGATTAAACCAATCGCTTTCGATAATTTCGATAATTTATATCTCGATTAAAAAATTAGAAAATCGATAAGACCAATATCCTAAATACAAATTTGATTTTGCTTAGATTTCTTTTAAACTTAGATTTGTACAATGTTAATTTCTAATGTCTGTGCCACTTAATAAATAGAAAGACAATCACAACACACAATGCATGAAGGCAGCCATATGTTTTTCTACTGACATATGCTGACATCTATGGTCAAATCAATCATTAATCATGTTATATCTAGAAAGGATAACTTTTTTAATTTTAACATGAATTTTATAAAAATTCATCTCTTTTTATCAATTAAAAATATCTCTTTTTAAATTTTACTTCTACAAATTTTTACGTTTTCTTTTTTGTTATTATAATTAACAATTCGTAAATTGTTTTAGTCTTTTTATTTATTTGTAATTGGACAAACCAATAGAAAGACTCTAAAATAATCTATTCAAAATTTTCTAATCTAATCACAATATGACGTCATCTATTTTAATCTAAAATTACTCATAATTAAACAATAATAATAAATAGTTATAATAAAGCAGAGATTTTGTTGTATATATCACGTGTGCATAAAATTATTATTGAATTCATTCTTAATCGAATATATAAATTAGTTTTTCTATGGTCGGTGAAATCGGTAAGGCAGTCTGAATAATGTTTTATCAATTTTGATAATTGTACCATAAACGTGTGATTACAAATAGACAAAATTTGTAATATTTTCTGCTTCTATTTCTTAGACAGTAAATTATATTCAACATGAAAAATCCATTACAAAAACTAGTATCTTTCATAGGATATTGGTATTTTCGATACATGCTTGTTACAGAATTATATATGGTTGAACAATGGGAAAGAATTTTCATTCGTATCCTTTATACAAATAATGTTATAATATTGTAACGATTGTGTTATCTATTCAAGGTTTGATGTTCAAAGTATTAAGTATTATTCCTATATAAATTGTAGATGTTTTATTTACAGTGTTATTCTTTACAGTATTTATTTTTAATTATAAGATATTACTTCCAATTACTCAAGTACTAAATTTATTATGAATTCTAGAACGAATATGTAATTATAGTTTTATTGTCTTTCCTTGTCTTTTTATTCATTTTATTCTTTGTAAAGATAACGTTATTAAATTGTTTCAGTTATTCTAATAAAAATGGTGTGATTTATAAAATAATTTAAATTTTAATCGTACAGCTTGATAATTTCTTCAATATGATATATATACATCTACAATTACATTATAATTTTTTTAAATGTATTACCAAGAATTACATTTAATTAATGTAATGTTGTAGAATGTAATGTTAAAGAATGTAATTTTGTCAGATACATTATTATATTTTATATTTCGTTCTTTGTAAAAAGAAACTTTATCATTGATTTATATATGCATATATTGGTATTAATATTATAATACAAACTGCAAAGAAATAATAAATTTACTAATTTAAGAACTTCTTTACTATATATGATATAAATTATAATTTGTTATTATATATATATTATATAAATAGTAGAAAAATATATATATATAATATATTTATATATATAAGGTGTTAAATACATAAGCAATATCTGTACACTTAATAAATATTAAATTTTATTTTTAATAAGAAATTAGTTATATATGAATAACCATCAACCAATGTATTTAACAATTTTAAAGTATAATAATACATGGTTTTAATAACCTTACCGATTTCAGAACAAAACAATGTATTTCATTTATATTATCATTTAAAAATTAAGTAACAAATTTCATATACTGATTGCACTTCAAAGATAAACACAATTTTGATCAATATTGAAATTGTTACGTATTCAATAATTATGAATACTAACACACAGATTCCATGTGCTGATATTTCACATTGTAAGTAGGCACATTAGGAATAAGAATATTGTGATCGTTACTGAGAATAGTTTTACAAATGCATGTAAAGATGGAATTTTACACTGTCGGATGCATCTTACAATAAATGAAGTTTTTGTTTTTTTCTAATCATTGAAATAATTATAATATAATCATATATAAGTAACTAATAAAAAATTATAGATATCATAAATGTCAATTTTTTCTACATATGCAAGTTATATGCATGTGTGAATTAATCTTTAATCTTATAAGATAGCAAATAATTTACAAACTTTTGAATAAATTTGTTTAAAATCTTCGTAATTAAGTTTATGAAAACAAAAAACCCTTCAACTCTGATGATCAACTACGCGTGTTGCGACATATTTACATATTAAACTATCAAGTTTAACAAATGAATTGCATACATTTGCCACTTGAAAATAAGTGCTGCTGCTGTTACAGCCGTCTAGAAATTGTTATTATTTGAACCAAATCTACTATTATTGTTTTTTTTTTCTTTGCTGAATACATTGCTAAATATGTGCGCTTTACTTGCTAATATTGCAGAGACATTTGAAAATTTTAAATAAATTATCAGCTTTGATATTATGTTGTGCATACACCACAAAAGACTGTGGTAGCAGTACTGTAGATGCAAGGAAAAATTAATAAAGCAAACGATATTATTTCTACATTATATATAAAGGCTCATATTAAAGGTAAATATGATATGGATCTCGTATCTGTCTGTAAATCATTTTCTGTGTCTAATCTCCTAACGCGCACTCTCTGTTTATAATGGTACTCTTTGAGATAACTTTTAAGCGTCTTTGGCAACTGCAGCTTATTTATACCATCATATGTAGTTCTTGTAGTTATAACTGCTCTGCACAAGTGTTGTAAGGGAAAGGCGAAATTACGATGTAATGGTATAGTCAGCATAGGTTCGAAGAACATACAACAGGATGGGTCCTTGTAATGTTCTATTAAACCACACACCTGTAAACATATAACATATCACTAAATAACTTCTATTATTCCAAAAATATAATGATGAGAAAAAAAATTTATTTGAAAACTAACTGTTTCAGATGCGTAAACGCCTGGATCATGCGAATCGAAACTAAATTTGTGATTCCATTGTTCAATTCTCGCATGAAGAGATCGTCCATATTTTCGAAAGCTTACGGAGAATAGAAACTCCTCTTGTGCAGAATCTCGTAATAAGAAGGTTCCTTCTTGTTTACCTTCCAGTAAACGCTCCGCTTCGTAACGGTCCATTTTACCCCAATAAAAAGAGCATGCTGTTATTGACCGTAAATCTGGTACAAGACAATGCACATAATCGACCTATGAGCAACAAACAAATTACTGTTAATATAAATGTATATAGAGATTTTATCCGTCGAGGAATAATTAGTAATTACCTGCGTATGTGCAGGTCTTTCAATATTTGGAATTAATGTAAAATCTATTTGAGATAACGCAGTAAGGGCAGCAACTTGAATACCAGCATGTACTTGAAACAACGCGGCCAAACTATCTACTGTTATACCATTTGGATGCACCTGTATACCCGATGAATAATTAGGTCTGTATCCAGGAGGAGGTTCGACGCCTTCTTCCATCTCTCGTGCTCGTTGTAAACGTGCCCTTTCGTCGCAATCCTTCACAAAAAAAATGAAAATTACATTTTTCTTTGTACTTAATTTTAATCAATATACAAGGATCATTATAATAATATATATACCTCCATAGGAAATTCCTCTGGATTAAATCTTGACAAATCGATCACAGGACTCGGTGGCAGAGGACCAAGAATTGGACTTTGTGGTGCAGATCTACTATTGAATACAATTCCTTCACCCATTGGGTGTTCTTCGGTTCTTCTATAACCAGTACATACACAATCTGAACTACTGTTGCCTTGACCAGGAATAATATCAGTGTTTTTGGATACTTTACTCTTTGCAAATTTTAATACCCAATTACTTCTTTTCTTTTTTGAAGATAAAATGTGATTACATAGTGGACTTTGATCCTTGTTCCGTTGTTTACCTAAAATGATAAGTAACAAATAAATATACTAAAAATAACTCAAATTCTTTAATACGGATCTCAAGTAATTCAAGTTAAATCAATAATTTAAATGACTCACTTATTCTTTTCCCGAACGACAATGTTTTTGAAGATCTTCTTAATGGAGGAGTTCTTGGACTATCTTCGGAACTACTACTACTGTTGCTACCACCAGAACTGCTGCAACATGCCTCTTGTTGTCTGAATGGTATCTCAGAATTGTTAATATTTCCATTACCACGAACTTGTTTTATGTCCTGAGTTTCCACCGGTTGACTGTATAAAGATTCAAATCTAGAATTGTGATTATCTAGATCTAAATTCAAATTATGATTTCCCAAATTCCCTTCCGATTTGCTCTCTCTATTTGGAATAACATTAGAATTCAAGACAGGTACATTCCCATTATTCTCATAATTGGGTAAATTTTCTGTATCATCTTGGTCAACCATTTCCAACGTTGATTGTTGTTGCAATACATTAGAATATATTTCTGCGGATTGTTTATCACCATCCATCTTAAAAAATTCCCTGAGACTAGCAAAATGCTGTCCCATCGTTAACTCTATAGACAGGCATTTTATGGCCTCAAAGATATTTCTAGTATAACGTTCTGTATCAACAGTATCAATATGTTTATACCGTAATAATACAATGATTGCACATTGCAAACTTTTACTTTATAGAATTTTGTAAGGCATTCAATTTATTCATTAGCTCTGTCATATATCAATTTATCTGTAACAAAAAATAAACAGAAATAAATTATTATACAAATTTACATTAAATGCAAAATATAAAAATAATGTGTCATTATGTCGTAGATATTTAAACGTGTTCCTCGTGTTTATCATTTTCTTGTAAAGATCTAATTGTAAATTTAAGAAATTAAAAATGCATAAAAATAAAAGCAATACAATTTTGTAATATAAAAATTACATCAAATTATGTTTACCTCGATATAAATTCATTGTTTACGGATATTAATATACAAAAATAATATTTTAAGGCATTTGCAATGAAATTTCGCGATGGCAGCTAGAATAGAATCACGTTTAGACAGGTTCAGACAAGTTTTGACAGGACCTCAAGTAATAATTACTTTAATTCGTACACTATAACAACACACTTATAATTCACAACACTTTATCCGCTATGAAATAATGAAAATCGTTTATTGGAATATCAATAAATTCCATGTCGAACGTCAATACGAAAATATACGTAAAATAGTCAAAACACGGACCACTGCATCATCAGCCATTTTCCCTAACTATCTCATGTCTATCTCTTTACCATTCGTCATTGGTTTATTTTAAAGAAGAAATGCAACACTCATGTTAAAGATCATGGGAGTGATCGTGGGAATACTTTATCCTTACTTCCGGAATCTCAATTACAATTAATCTATTAAATTATTCCCTTTTATAAATTCATTTTTTTAATATCTTTCATTTATACAATAATTATCAATATATAAAATGTTAATACATATGTATATTTATATAAAAATGTTTTTATAAATGAAATATAAGCATACAAAAATTCAAGACTAATGCAGTAATTCATCGACCAATGAGATTTCTTCTACATTCTACTCATAATTTAATTCGAATTGAAATAATTATAAATGAATATAATGTTTGTTTATTATTAATAATTAGTTTAAGCTATTAATTAATAAATTATGTTATTTAAAATACGTATACATATTTAAACAAAATGTAATTTTATATTTATCCCTATATTGAAAATAAAAATTATAAAATAATTTTTCCATTTAACAAATAATTTGTATAAAGAAATAATCAAATATTGAAGAGTATATTTGTAGTTTGTAACATTATTTTTTTTTGTAATTTTTTAAATAAAAATTCGATTTTTTCTGTGGACGAAATAGAATTGTAGATGGCAGCCTTCGTTAATACTTCGTTTGACACGTGTACCCCTTCTTGAATGGTTTAAATATTTGTGACAGTATAGCGTTGTCGACGCCCAGTTATCCGTAAGTTTTTTAATATCCGTTATTCATATATTTAATTGTTGTTGTTAGTATAAGGTGCTTTATTATTAAAAATTTAATAAGAACAAGATTTTAAAGTTTGAATTATATTAAGATATATTTATAGAATCTAAAGCCGACTAAATCTATCGGTATATTTGACATAATAACCAATATGGCGTCTCCAAAAACAATGTTCCATTAATGAGCTTATGCAAAAAAGTTTTTAACAAAAGTGGATGAAATTGTTAACGTACTGTTTTATTTATCATTTATTCTATTAAATCTTTGCTATATTGAATACATAATACATATTTGCAGTTGGATTTGCAAGGGGACTATATCTCAATATCTGCTTCTTAAGCATATTCCTATTCCAGTTAAAACTATTGCAGTAGTGTTCGTCAAGTTTCAAACTTTTCTATTATAATAGTAATATCTAATGGATAAAAAGTACTTTAACGATTAAGTTTGAAAAAGTGGAGTGTCATCTACAGATAATGAAAAGTTAAGATTATTTTCATACGGTGTGTTATAAAAGAGAGAACGTTGAAATGTTTTATTGATATCGAATGAATAGTCTGTTAAAAGTTTAAGTTATTAACAGAAAGTGTATGCTACTGCGCATTAAAGTAGTAAGTCTTAAAAACTTTAATACACTTTTATCATAATGAATTGATTACAAACATTTATTTTATCCTTGGATTAGGTCAAGTAAAGAACAGTGCAAAAGATGCAGACAATAAAATGCGTTGTGGTTGGAGACGGGGCTGTTGGTAAAACTTGCCTATTGATTTCCTACACTACGAATAAATTTCCATCAGAATATGTGCCTACGGTGTTCGATAATTATGCAGTTACAGTCATGATTGGTGGAGAACCATACACTTTAGGATTATTTGATACTGCTGGTAACTATAAGTAATATATATACTTCATCTTATGTTTATATCTGTATTCAAATATTTAATAATGTATTCTCGTACAAATGATATAATTATATTGTAAAAATTATATTGTTATATGTGTTTAAGGTCAGGAGGATTATGATCGACTACGACCACTTAGTTATCCACAAACAGATGTATTTCTAGTATGTTTTTCTGTTGTATCCCCGTCATCTTTTGAAAATGTTAAAGAAAAGGTATGTTTGTTAAGTTTATAATATACATTTGTATTTATCATACAAGATTATAATGTTACAAACGCATTCTTTATAATTATATTTAATATTCTTTTTCTTTTTTTTTAGTGGGTACCAGAAATAACTCATCATTGTCAAAAAACACCTTTTTTACTTGTTGGTACACAAATCGATTTAAGAGATGATGCAGCGACTATTGAAAAATTAGCAAAAAATAAACAGAAACCTATAACAGGAGAACAAGGAGAGAAACTTGCGAAAGAACTGAAAGCAGTGAAATATGTAGAATGTAGTGCTCTTACGCAGGTATGTCATCAATGATGAATTAATCTTTTCCTTGTATCAGTGAAACACAAATAAGAGTTTATTATATTTTATATTTTTATATTTTTTAGAAAGGTCTAAAGAATGTTTTTGACGAAGCGATCTTAGCAGCTTTAGAGCCACCAGAACCAGTTAGAAGAAGACGATGCGTTGTCTTGTAGGACGTGATTGCCTCCTTATCGAACGATTGGCTCAATATTGTCGAAGATTGTGAGTTTTATCGTACGGTGCATGCAGATTATTTTATTGAAGCAATAACCACACACTGAATAAGACAAAACAAGGCTTAACGTGTTGAATATCAAAGAATGAATATGCCTACGTTAATATAAGGCATTGTTTATCTAACGATATTAAAAGAACTTGGAAAGTCAAGTGAAATTTTGTATTGAAAATCGATACGGCAATTACAAACTATTTGCATGTTTGCATTTCTCCTTAATTAGGGGTATTATACTTTTGTAACTGTATAAAATGTCGATCGCAACACGCAGATGTGGATAACCATACTTTTGTACATAAATTACATAAACTTATTTATCTTATACAATGGTGCGTAAATGTGTCTTATTTGTAGGTAGAGTTGTCATTTATATTGAACCTATAAGAATTATATCAAGGAGAATACATGTATATATACATATATATATATATATACATACATATGTATATATATATATATTTTTTAAAATACTTATGAGTGTATTAACAAACGCGAAGTATGAGTTAATACGTGAAATTTTTCTTCAGGGTGACTTGCGATTTTGACGTTGACTTTTTTTACGATCGCATAAACGAAACAGTTCCACACTATCCAGGATCGAAGAAAGCTCGTAATAAAGAATGTACCATGAAAGCTGCAAAACTTGTAGGATATTTAAAATGTAAGATGTTTTTAACAACATATTAATAGCGTTTTTAATAAATCATTTATAAAAATCATGTAAAAAAAACATCTTGTTTAACGAATTACGAATAATGGAGATTGCGTATTCTAAATATCAAATATTAGCTATTCAATCGATGAATTTATTTTATTCAATAGATAATTGAAAGAAATGTAATTCAATATCGTATTAACATTGATATTTATATCCAAATCCAATGTTCGTAAAATAGAAAATCGATAATAACTGGATACTAAAGCTTATAAGGATTATATATCTAATTTTCATATGTTTAGTATTTATGAATAATAATTCTTCGTTGCCACTTAATCTATTTAGTATCACGAACCAATAAATCATTTTATATAAATATATTAATCCTTATATATATATCAGTTACTCAAAGAGAATTCCATAAAAATATTAAAGTTAGTCAGCTATGCACACTACTCTAACGAATAGATTTATTGTAATATTATTATTGAAATTCTTTTCTTCCAATAATATATTATAGATATCGCATCGAAACAATCATTAATTTTTTCAAATAAATATATATAAAAATTGTTAAAAGTATTGAATGCGATCCCTATTATCAAAAGAAAAACAAAAAGAAAAAAACCGGATATAAACGTAGAAGAAGTATTTGTAATAAATATTTTCAAGGATCCAGGAGATGAGAAAGGCCGAGAAGATAAGTAAGAAATACAACTATCTTCTTTAGAATAATTTTTACTGATCGTAATTAGAGATAACCAGAATACAATACGGATAAATAGTATATTTCTTTTTTTTTTATTTTTTAATTCCCTTTATTTTTTTTTGTTGTTTTTTTTTTTCTAACAAGACATTATTTCTCATTTAGATGCCCGTTCACCGTAATACGTGCCATATACACGTTTGTTCCATGGGACGCCATCATATTTTTGTTTTCTTGCATAATGGCGGTTTGATGATCGTCACGAGGCTACGGCGAACACGACGATCAAAGAAATTTTCATTCACGCATTGGATACAGGCACACTTATGATTAACGGATTCACTGTGATCATCATCTATAACGTTGCCCTTATCGAGCAGCGAATTCGTATCGTATTTTAATAGGCCAGAGTAATTATTATTGCAGTCTTCAATGTTTCAGAGAGCCATTCTACTTTCGTTTTTCATATTTCGCGGATATTCCTATTACATATACATATACATATATATATATGTATGCGTTTTACATTAGCTCTCTTTCTCTTGTAATTTTTTTTTTTTTTTTTACCAATTCCATCTCTTTCTTTTCTCTTTTTCTATTTTTTTTTCTCTCTCTCTCTTTCTTTCTGTTATCGGGGGCGAATTGAGCATCCAAAATCTCGCCTAACTTCCGGGGCACAATTTTAAAGAGCAAAATATCATTCTACCAAGGCCGAATTCCAGTTAAAGAAATTCATATGTCAACTGTCATCATTGTTTCTCGACGATTTTTCTATATATATATCATTATCATTATTATTATTATTATTAATTATTATTAATATTATTATTATTATTATCAATTTATGGATCGCAAATACGGGTCGACCCTGTGGTATTTCTCTTTGTATGCTTAATACATGTGTCTCACCACTGTACGTAGATTCGAATGTGTATTATTTGTATACATATATATATTTGTGAGATGATGATTCGAGAAAAAAAAAGAAAAGTAAGAATTCATAAAGGACACGTATTTGCGTTCCCCGGGCATATAGTTATTATTTCGATTCTCGTCAGCTTGAAAGATAGAATCGGGCCACGAAAAGATCTCTCTTGAAAGATTCAACGTTCTCTCTCTCTTACGAATGCTTTTTTTTTTTTATCTTCGTTGATTCTCTCTCTCTGTCTCTGCCTCTGTTTCTGTCTCTCTTGAGAGAGAAGAACGAATGTTATGTATGTATATGTATGTGTATCTATTTCATTTGGCATGCTTCTCCCCTTTCTCAGTGGGTTTGTTGATGTGTTATGCGTAGTTCGCATAGTAGCGAGAAGAGTGTGGAATACAATGGATAGATTATACCGGCATGTATGACAACAAGCGCAACATACGTGATCACACACACACATATATATTGTATATATATATATATATATATATACATACGAGCAAGCAAACATTCTCAAAGGAGGACTACCTACATAAATGTTACACGCACGTACAACGTATTTACACCCACACGCGTATAAGAATATCCTAGGTAGAAAACACGTGAGATGGTGTGTGTGTGTACGTATATCTCTACAGGTCTCTCTCTCTTGGGAGAACAAGGGCGAAAACGCTATGTCGATGCACCATGCGCTTTGTAATTAGAGATAACTTTTTCTTTTTGTCATCGAATTTCTTTCTTTCTTTTATTCTTTTATTCTTTCATTCATTCTTTCATTTAATGCATCCCAATTAGGTTGATATCAAATGATTACTTCTTTTATATATATGAAAAGTAATAAACTTACAAATGTGAATTAATTAAATCATATTAAATGATAGAATATATTAATTGCAGAGTTATTCATTTAATATAAATTATTACTATTATTAAATGATCATCTTTTTGTTTTGTTTTTTTTTTTTTTAAATAAATGTATAAAATAAAATATGTAGGACAATAATGTACATAAATATATACTTGTTACATATATATATACATACGTGTACTTTTATGATCGAGCTTTTTCATTTTCGCTAAAGTTCTTTGTACCTATATGCATGTATGTATTTCTCTCTCTCTCTCTCTCTCTTTATATATATACACATATGTATATTACCCATGGAATATGATCATGCGCGTTGCATCGACGATGGCGTTTCATCATAATGATTATACGATCGGGCGAGTAACAGTAAAGGAATTTCTCTGTAAATACACACTGTCGCGATTCATGGTATACATACGTAATATTCTCAGCAATGTATATATGTATATATATATTATCTTAGAGCAAAGTATCATTTGCAAGCAAACGTCATAATCATGCTCCTTAGCATCGATCGAAATCATTCTCGTGAGAGATTTAATAGACTCGTCACTTACACCAGTGTCTCTATCTCTCTCTCTGTCTCTCTCGTTACATTAATGCACCAACCATGTCAAACTCACTATGATTTATGAAGTCAAAACCAGTACGAGATTTGCACGGTTATTAATCGATCTTTAAATATTATTATTGCAATTTACCCCTTCCTATACATGTGTTGTAAAATAGATATACCATGGGGTCGAATGAAATTATAATACACTCATAGTTTAATAAACACGTTTCTTTTTTAACGATGATGAAAGTAGCCTAAGCGAATTAATAATATATATTATATATATATATATATATATTACTAGTTTCGTTTTACATCCTTCCAATTATCTAGAAAGTCTAGTAATTATATGAAATAATAAAAAAGAAAAAGTATGATATATATATATATATATATATATATATACGTGTTATATTCGGCCTACTTTCTTTTGATCACCTGTAATACATCTGTTCTATGCTTTGTAATACTTTGAAAAATGTCTATATAGTAATCGATCTGGTGTATACTTATGTTACATTGTATCTGTCCTGCGTTTGACATGTCCTGCTGCTACATTTTAACCGATCCATATTACACACGCGTTCAACTTATTATCGTGAATGTGTATGCGCACGCATATATTGATATAGAATACATATCGTATATACATACATACATACATACATACTGCGGGTATACCTCGTTTACACGTGAATAGTAATAAACAAACTGAACGTGCGATTGCATTACTATACATCAAGAGATATATCGTAATACTGTTGAGTTAGTATTTAAACATGTGACATTTTCATATTTTCTCTCTCTCTTTCTCTCAAAGTAAATGCGAACCAGTGATTACGAATTTAATTTAAATATAAATGGTATATAAAGAAGAAAAAGAAAAAAAAAAAGAAATAAATAATTACTGTTCGTTACGCGCGAGGTGGAAAAGAAAAAAAAATGATTAATTAAATTTATTCCTCCTAGATTTTCATTTTGAAATAATCATTTTCATAATTGCTGACACACACACACACACACGCGAATAATTATAATCATAGAGAAAAAAAAAGAAACGCCCGTTTAACATTGAAGAACACCTTGAATTTAAGTAAAATCGATTTTTACCTTTCAGCTTTTATTTTTCTCTCGTTTTATGAAATCATTTTATACCTGACTTCGTGCTACCCACGTCTAACGCACTCGTACGTGAAATCTATGTACATAGATATTACATATATGTGAGTTTATTTATATATATATATATGTACGTATGTATGTATATAGATGAAATAAACGTAAAAGATAAGCCGATACGATTCGTTAATTATTCTTCTTATTATAATTAATTTACAAAGTTTTAAACTAACATATCGTGCGTACACACACAAACAAACACATACACACACAAAGAAAAAATATTTGATAGAGACGAGAGAAGCATTGATCTTTTTTAATTTGCGTAGAGTGCCAATCTCGGTTAACGAAGCGTGTTTGACGAACAGGAGAGCCAAATCATAGTTTTCTTCTATTTTTCTTCTTTTCAAAAAAGTAGATATGTACTATCTATACATATATTTGTTCTTCTCTATATATATATAAAGATCGAACACATATATATGCAAAGAT